AGGAAAATTTGTAGTAAATCAACCGGAACCCCTAAATTAACAGGATTGCTAGTTTTCCTGTCGGAGATCGATGGTTCTCTCCGGGAACTGTGTCTTCTTCCACCAATAAAAACTGGCCGCCACGACATAACCAATTATGCTTAAAGAAGCGTTAAAGCACAATAAATCAAGCTGTCATGTCTGTACCGAAGCATTGTTATATAAACGGATATAGTAATTAATCAATAAACATGTAAATCCTGCCCTAAACATCTTGGGTCAATTTTCGTTCATGTTAAAGTCAAGAGTTGAAATCATCCCTTCGTTAATTTTACGGACGCCATCACGAGTTGGTTGACCGTTATGGAATAACCGTTTCACAGAAGATATCGGATATGTTCCTTATGTCGTAACTACAATACCCTTCCCTTTTCACGAATGTGACTTACCGAATTAGACTATGTACCGGATTTGTAATAACATAAACAACACGACGGGTGCCACAGGTGGAGCAGGATCTGCTTACCCTTCCGGAGCACCTGAGATCACCCCCAGTTATTGGTGGGGTTCGTGTTGCTTAGTCTTTAGTTTTCTATGTTGTGTCATCTGTACTATTATTTGTCTGTTTGTCTGTTTATTTTTGGCTATGGCGTTGTCAGTTTGTTTTCGATCTATGAGTTTGACTGTCACTCTGGTATCTGTCGTCTCTCTTTTTCGAGGGGCCCTAGTTGTAAAAGTGAGAATCAAGCCTTAGTTTTGAAGATATATTATCAAACATTTTATAATTTGTTATATGTATTTTATTGTCCAACTCTTTAGCCACGTGTATTGTGAAATAAGCTAAGGAAAATACGTTAGGGGATTGCAACCCACAACATATAAATCTTTTGACTGTGAAATTTACTTGGTAAGTAGTCTATAACATTGAATAATATTTAACGAAACAATTCTGATTATGGTCAGCTAATCCAAATATAAGCTTTGTGGTTTTTCTTCGAGATAATATTTTTTTATTTTGTAGATATTTTTACAAACAATGTTTAAGACACACAGAGAAGGGTCTTGATGATGGACACATCATTTATGTATTCTCTGTTGTTTTATCTATTTACTCTCTATTCTTTATCATTTCCATTGCTATTCTCCATTTCTTTAGTTTTTATAGCAATTTAAAACGTCTTGCAGATCTTAGTTCCGAATGATATACTTCAGAATAGCCCATCGTCTATACGACATTTCGAAAAAAAATCTTTTAGAATTCCGCAACTTTACTGCATAAACACGCCCCATATTGAACTTACAGGACTATGTAAACTCCATAATTTGATTCCGCTTTTAAATACAAAAAGTTCTCTTCAGATGCAAACCTATTACTTACATTTTTGTTGGGAAATATTATTGTATACACAAAACAGTCACAAATAATACGGCCAATTTAGAAGGTCCAAATTTAGACTTTTTAACCAATATTTTTATCTATTCAATTATTTTAGGGAAATCATTGCTGGCACTGCATGCAATACTCCTCTTTATATCAAGCCCAGAAATTACATTTTTTTTTAGTAAAAGTGGAAAATCTGTGGATTTTCTATAACATTTCCATATGTTTAGCATTGAATCAACGAAATGGTACATAATCTGTAATAGTTTAAACAATTAAAGACATGCATGCTTGAACAATTCCCAAGCAAATGTGTGTAATAGTGCTTAACATGCACAACGTATTGGATGTAAGAGTATTTTAAACTATTTTCTTTCTATTTTCAGATATGCGCGATTTCTTTGCGATATGCTTAAATTGTTTAAAATATATTTCAATCAGATAAGTATACCGTTTTACCGGATAAATCATAGAATCGCAGTGTAATTGTGGACATGTAATACATGCTTCTTTTACGTTCGTTCGAATCTTTCGTTAAACTGTAAAAAAAAACCTGTAATAAGCGTTTGATATATTTTCCTACAGAAATTTTCGGTTGATTACTATTCGATCATAGACATAAGATATCGAAGACTCATCCTTTCGTGACATTGTAGGTTTACCAATGGGTGACATTGAAGGTCTACCCTTGCGTGATGAACACTATAAGTGTGTATCATTTGCTTTCCCAATCCTACTTGAAAAAGATCATTCCAATCGGAAAAGCTTTCAATCAAACGTAACCGTGACTAAGCACGAAATACAACGGAGAAGGATCTAGTTGGTGTTCTTCATTTCTGTATTCTTTAATTTTGATGCCATTTTTCTCTATTCTTTATACATGTTATATTTTTGACCATTATTATCTATTCTTAATATTTTTACACCCTGTTATTCCCTATCAATAGAATTTAGATCAAGCTTTACAGATTTTTTGAAACGGTAATACCTACTGAGTCTATAGATATAAAGATTGAAAGTTTATCTTTAACAGTTGTGATGTCTAACCAAACATGCTTATCATTGTGTTGTGTATGATTTCGCCGCATTGACGCAATGTGCATAACGTCAAAATATTTGCCCATTATTCTCTAATCTGTAATCCCCATCAAGACTTCAGTGAGATTAAAATATCTTGCTATGACAGACAACAAGCACGAAAGCTAAATGACGGCGATTTATGGAAATGATAATAAAGAAAAAAATGATTATTCGTGTTGAGTCATAGAAGGATTTAGTTTTCTGAATATTCTGGAATGGAACAATGATGTATGTACACAATCTTTGACTGAATATAAAGATAAGTGCATGACTTTACGTTGGCGTTACATGTTTTTCCTATATATTTTAAACCAAATCAAAATCTGCTATTACAAATGGTCAAAATAGATTAGTAGCGAACATAACTGTAGTTAAAAAAGTAAAATATTACAATTATATTGCTTGGTCTTTGTGCATTAACAGTAATTACTCTCACACGCCTTGACTTTTCAGCATTTTGTAATAAATGTCTCTGCCAAAAATATATAACATTTTACTCTTAAGTAAATAAGTATAGTGTTTACCCGTCCACTATTTCTGTAATAAACACAAAAGGATAAATCTATTCAAACGGTTAAAGTCGAACGTTGCAAAATAAAAAAAAAAAATATTTTGACAAAACCTACATTTATTGTATAAAATGTAATAACTACACTAGCGTTTTATTGTAGTCATTCGAATAGAATAACCAGCATTCATGTCTTTTACTGAAGTCCAGTATTTATTTATTCTATTAGAAAACTAAAACTGAAAAGGTGAATGAAAGACAAAACAGTTGTACAGATAAAAGAAATTCGGTACAAGTAAATGCATCTGCAACCCAACTACCAAAAACCACCAGAATTAAACATGTAGTGATCATTTTTTCAAATAGACAACTCTCTAAAAACACTTTTTCTCACATTAATACTTATTTATCAGAATTATAGCCTTAAAGAAATTACTGTATATACTATAAATATTTTTTACAGTACATTTTATACCCTCACCCCTGTTTCAATTTTTTTAAAGAATTTTAAAACAAGGCTTTAATTATTGCCAGCTGACCCTATGTGCATGTTTTCTGACATGAAATGTCTAGAACCTGTTTGAAACTATTCTGATATCAAACTGAAAGTATTTCAGAAATCTATAAATGTAATGTTTAGCAGTTAACAATTCCAACATTCAAGATTATATAAAGTATTCATTCCTGCCTCTGTCTCCAGTCCATATCATACTGTATGCCTTTTTTTCAATGAAAGTTCACAATTTCTACCTCAAATGGTCAGTTTAGAAATCTTGTCACAACAGTATCATTTCTAACCATATATCTAACATAATAAGCTAATATATGAACTATAAGTGTTTAAACAAAGCCATATTTGCAAAAGTTCTATGTATGAAGAAACCAGTCTAATGCATGAATTTACAAAAAGTGTTATAGAAATAACTGCTGACATCTGTTTTTTGTATAACTTCCAAGCATAGTTACTGTTTTCAATACAAAAGACCTTAAAAATAATAAAATCATAGCATTTACTAGTTAAATTATTTGTTTTTTTTTGTCCCAGAGGGTGGGCATTTTTCTCTTTTTGTGTCCCTGGGGCATCAAATTTCCTAAATTATTCTGCTGTTTCTTGTCATATGGAATATTTAGAATATATTTAGGATAGAACACACTATAGTAAGTTTTATTGAGGTATTTTTGTATTTCTGGCTTGTATTTTTTTATGCCGCAGTCACAAAAAAGCACATTTAGGTGTTACGGCTAAATTTTGGGTTGCAAACAGGACAAAAACACCCAACCAAAAATACTCAGGAAGGATCTATGATGTTTAATGACTGCGAAGAGTAAATGTAAGCACTTCTAAACAATTGAAATTACAAATACGCATATATTATGAATTTAATTTGCTTTAAGTAAACTATGCATTCTGTAAACTGTGAATTTATGTATGAGTTATCATACTTAAGGCCCAGGATGATCTCAATCTTCATGAAATATTTATAAAACCTTATATTTGAGTTAATTTTATTAAAATCTCTGATATAAACCAGAAATGGTGAACTTCTGTATTTTCACTTTTTTTACCCAATATAGGTTGCATTTCTGTAAATATCGACAATGCAATTTCCCATAGTTACTCCTTTAACGGCTAAAACTGTACCACTTTTACTATGAAGTTTTGAAAAAAAATATATCCTAGAATGGAAAGTTCATATGCACTACTTTTTTTCCAAGGTCAAAATATAGGGCTGTGTGGCATATTTTCAACGTTTATACGCCCCGAACTTCTAAGAGTTTAAACTTACACTAAAATTATGTCCTACCCTTACCTTGACTTAAGGGTTCCCACAGATTTCAATTTGACCAAAATGCATATGTATATTTACTGGTAACATTCCCAAGTTATGTCTCTACGAGATAAAACATAGAGATCATGTATGGGAACCATTACGTAAACAGAATTAATTTTCTATGAATATTCTATATCTCCCCAAAAGAGGTTTGGTTTGAGAACCAGCTGTATTTACAACGTGCAACCTACAGACAAATTAAGAAGACAAACAAATCCACTGTAATGTCATGTTTGATTTAATATTACAATATCTAAAAAAAAAAATACAGTTCATGAGAGAGTGTTAAAACATAATATACTACATATTTAACAGTTTATGACAAGTCAACTGCAAGATTCCGTATATACAATGTGATATAATGAGGATATTAAGAATTTGTAAACAAAGTGTCTCTACCGTTAAAAAATTAAGAAAATATGGACGTTTTTTGAGTTATTGAACGCATCGATGATTATCGAGAAAGATATGTTTCATTCAAAATGTTAAAAATACATCTTGGTATCAAATTATTATATATGTTCCTTAAAATCAAAAGATGGAAGGACGATGAGAAAGCCTCTTTCCAATTTAAAGATATTTGCAAATATCATCACTTCATCATCTCATTTTATTCATATAAAATTATTCTTCTTACGCTAATTATTGAGTGTAATCAAACAATTGTATTTGCAATTTTCATAACAGAATTATTCAGATCTTTTCCATGTGTATGAAAAATGGTGTTTTACAATTGGTAGAACTATAGGTAATTCCGTAATATGATAGACTATCAGAGATCAAATCTTCGATAAGAAGTCTTTAAAATCATAGAGAAACATTGATTATAATAATCGCAAAAACATGTTACTGTTGAAGATTTCTTGATACCTGTAATCCATGAGGTCTAATTGTTACTGGTAATGTAAGTATCATTCAACACAAAGAAATGAATAATTCCTCCAAAGGGATAACACTATTGTCTTTTTCAGATTGGTTTTAAGACTTGTCGTGTCATAATAAATGACTGTAAATAAAAAAAAAAGGTATCAAGTGGTTCAAACAATGTAAGTGTGATCAATACGCTTTTAATGAAGGTACAAATAAAGTAATGCACATAATGTACCCAGTTGAGAAAAAAGGGGAAAATATGTCAAGGGGGCAATGGACGAATTAAAATGCAATCAGTTAAAATTAAAAGCTCTGTCTTCTTAGAATCAGATCTAGGGTAATAAAAGTATGAACAAGTTTTGACAATATGAATTTAACCTAAAACTGGGGTGAACTCACTTGCTTCGAAATGGTTAGAGGTTCCTATTCTACTATTTGAAAATTGGTGTCTATCCGATTGATCACTTATATAATATAATGTTCAGTTACTTCAATTTCTGATTATTAATATTCATCCTTTACACATATTACACAATTATTGAAAGTCGGTAGTGCTGGTATAGGAAAGTGGTCAAAGAAATCCGTGTTTTATTTCTTTCGTAAGATCTGATATACAATGATGTAGCTTTTATTTTTTCATTTGATAATACCCAGACAAAAGGTTCAAATATCATAGATCAGGAGATGAGTAGTCGACAAGCATGAACAGTTTGGCTGCAAATGGTTACAAACATTTAATTAAATCATAAGCAAATACTCGATATTGAAGGATGTCTTGAATTCTTATTTAGTAATCATTTAATATCTATGAAAAAGATGGTTTGCTTCTTATTTAATCATTTCCTAATAATAGAACAACACTTAAGAGTCGTTTATATCTACTCTTTTTTATCATGTCAGCAGCTTTTTCTCCAATCATCATTGTTGGAGCGTTCGTGTTGCCGGATGGAACATTTCTCATTACTGACGAATCTGCAACTCTTAGATTTCTAATTCCTATCACTCTGAAAGCAATAAAACATAATGTACATTCAATCATTCTTTTTTATTGCGAAATTCAAAAATTAACCGTAGTTATAACAATGGCACGTACATGATATAAACAAAGATTCTACCACATTATCCTTTCGGTAACGTTATTAATTTGCTGATTGCCTCTAAGTCGCCATGAGAATCACTAGCCTAATAGTCGGTACTTTGGTACTGGCATTGAAATACGAATAATGATGAAAATAAATTTTCTGTTAAAAAATTTTGAAACAATTTTAGAGAATGTATCTCCCTAATGTATAGCTCTGATTTCTTGTCAGGGTTTAGCTTTCCTTTTTGGTCTGTTTTGGTTGTCCCAGCTCTTCAACTTCTGTATTGGTTTTTGGACTTTCACATTTTTTTTTTTGGCTTCGAGCATCACTGAAGAGACATGTATTGTCAAATTGCGCATCTGGTTCAGTAAAATTGGTACGTTAATGTTTTTAGCTCCTTCTTTCCCGTGGAACACACTTTGCTGATTAACGTTCGGATATTGCATGCAATACCTTTTATTGAAATTAAATAAGAAAATATAAATTGCTCTCACCTCAAATGTGGGTCAACAACAGCAGTTTTATCATGAAGAGCTCCCATTCTACAGGTACCAACTTGATGATTAGAATTTCTTGCATAATGGCGAATCATACATTTCCAATAGTCATCTGTGTCAAAAGTAAATGCTTTGCAGAAAGATGTACATTCTTCTTGCCTGATAAATTTAGTTCCTATGCTGTTCCATGCTGAGTTGTTTGCAAATTCTTGCATATACCTTATAACTAGAAAAATATAAAAATTGCAGGATATTAATGATTTCCAAAATATTTATCTTTTTTTTTTGGGGGGGGGGGGGGGTGGGGGGAGGGAGGGTGTTAACTGATAGTTATTGTACCTTTTATTGTATAAGCCTTGACTATCCCAACGTTCTGATTAAAAAAAACTTTGATTGTGTGGATTAGATGTGAAGATTTTTTTAAACTCTGGAACATGTCGAAAAGTTATACCGATATCCCATGTATACCTTTTACGTATGAATCAACGTCATCCTGATTAGCTAAATATTGCGGATCTATAAGAGGAGGCTTCATTGGATTCTTGCTTTTCAGTCGAACTGTTCCTCTGCTTTTATGGTGAAGTTTACATATATTTACTGCAAATCCAACATCAGCTGATCGAGACGTTTCGTCAAAAACTCTCTGTGAAAAAAATAAAACACTAAATATTCAACACATTCACCCAAATGCATGTTTGTAATTAACGGATGGAGACGTGAAACATTTCTATATAAGTCATTAAAGTAAACATTACTACAATGTAAAGTAATATAATAGTACTTTGTAAGAAAACAAAATAGAATGTCTGTAAGAATGGAAATAATACTTCATGAATTTGGTGCGTCAGTAACGTTTTACTGGATTTACTTACTTTATGAACGCTCAAACCCGAAAAATAGAAAGCCTATTTTGTATAAATATTTAAGCTATTAACAAAAAGGAACATAAAAGAATGGGCAAATCTATACAATGTCAACTTTGCCTGAGTTGGAACCCTTATTTCTTTATAATTTCTAATTTTATCAACGGTAAATTTTACAAATTTATGTAACAAATATTGTCATGTCCAAAGCACTGACTACTGAGATGATGATACCCTCGTGGACAAGTAGACCACCAGCAGGGATCAATTCTGTGCCAGAAACTGAAAATAACACTTCAATTATTTAGTGCGTCTGAAGCGGTTTTTTTTATTTTTATTTCACTCATTTAGAATGCTGAAACCCTATCATTTGAAAGCCAAGAAGGTTCAAATACTTGATGAGCTATATTACCAATAGGTTCTTAAAATGAAATTCAAAATTCAGAGAGCTGAGGAAACACCTGGTTTCTGAGGTTCCATTTGATTGTAGCGGGTAATAAAAGAAGTCCTCATTATATATGTTTTTTTATAATTATTTCTCGACAATGTACGTCTTGGCTTTTTTTATTCTGGAATACAACCTTATATTGGTGCGTTAATATTAATTTTGTTTTAAAACTTTGCTATTGCTTTTGATTAAAGAAATAATCTACATTGCAAGGTCACATATCGCAAAATTACCGTTCAATCAATATTGAAGCAGAACACCAGGAGACAATATTGGTATAGAATAGAGAATTGAAACGGGGAATGTGTAAAAGAAACAAAAAACCGACCAAATGGCAGAAAAGAGCACAAGGCCACTAGTAGGTCTTCAACTCAGCAAGAAAATCCCGCACCTGATGGCGGATTTCAGTAGGCCCCTAGACAATAATATATACTAGTACAGCGAAATTGACGCCACACTAAACTTTGAAACATACAAATGAACCAAAACAGAGCTTGGTTAATAGATGATGTCTGCCGTTGTTTTTAGAAATTATAGTAATTAGGTCCGAAATATTTGTATTGTTAGTTTTTTCTTACTGCGATTGTTTCTACATCCTTGTGAACGGGTTTTACGTACAGTTTTAGAAACTATATCAAAAATGTTAACAGAATCGGTTCTTTTTTTTTTTTTTTTTTATCTTTTTTTTTTTTTATTTTTTATTGATCTTTTTGGTGTTCAAACTACAGTGCATACATACATTTTTACAAGACATAAGTGAATGACATGACATTTATGGCATTGTTATACTATTGATATTATGCGAATAAGACATAGTAAAAAAATTTACAAGTTGATGATGTGAATACTCAGTATATGATACATCTTAAAAAAATACTTTGGAATACATTAAATATATAATCAGATTAAAAATAAATTTAATTAAATAACTTCCATAAATCCCCCCCATCTGTCGACAAATGACTCGTGTTTGTCTTTAGAAAGATATAAATATTCTAATATCTCTAGACGTCTTTTCAAAAATTTAAGAAAAGCTTGCACAGATATTAACAGTCCGTCTAATTGTGTGTTCTTTACATAATTAATGTAATACTTTGCCTGTAGAATACAATAATTCAAAACTACGTTATCAGAATTCAATATACCAAAAATGACACTATCTTTATTCAAAAATATTTTTACTCCAAAAACTAAATACCACCAATTAGAAAATTCTCTCCAAAACTGTTTTGTTACTATACATTCAAAAAATTTATGCTCTATAGTTTCTATTTCTTTACAACTGGCACATTCATTAGTTAAGGAAAGTTTATATTTTTCAAGAAGATAATTATGTGAGACTATTCTGTGTAACATTTTATATTGGAAAGCTTGTAGTTTGCTTTCTATAGTACATTTAAAAGCTAGTGAATAAATATTTTTCCATTTTTCGTCACTAATTTCTATATTAAAACTTTCTTCCCACCTTTGTTGTGAAATAGGAGAAATACTTCCCCGATCGATAAAAAGTGAATATACATCCTTAGCAAATAATTTACTGATAGGCTTTTTTTTATTCTCATTCTCAAAAACGAATCCAAATGAGTTGCTGTTAGGTGACATGTGTTGTTGTAATAACAAATTTTTCCAGTCACGTGGTATAGCAAGTTTAATAGATAGAATGTCTACAAAAGTAACATTCAGTTTATATTTTTGGTTAATAGCGTCTTGAGACAAAAATTCGCCTTTATCATCTACAATATCATTGATGAACCTTATGCCTTTCATGTACCAAGATCTGTAAAAAATACTCGTTCTGTCAATTTTGATAAACGGATTGAACCAAATAAATTCTTTTCTAACATGAAATGCATTTAACGAGATGAAAATACCCTTGAAACGTTTCCAAGCAGATAACACTTCTATATAAAAAAGAGGTGCTTTTAAATTTAAAAACTCAAATTCACATCTGCTCATAAATAAATCCTCTAAATCAAAAAGGGGGAAGAATGCTTTGGAAACATGTTTCCATTTGGAGTCATGTTCTGACAGAAATCTTTTTACCCACATAATACGAAAGGATAACAGATGTACTTCAAAATTTGGGGCTTTTAGTCCCCCCTCGCTAAGAGACTTTTGAATAACTTCCGATTTAACTTTCGGAGTACTACCATTCCATAAAAAACTATTAATGTCACGTTGTATTTTAATTACATAAGATTTTGGTACATGTGTAGATGAAATGACATAAATAAGCTTCGATATTGCAAGTGATTTAAGAATTACAATTTTACCGATCAAGGAAAGGTTTCTGATCCTCCACAGTTTAATTATTGATTCCATTTTTTCTATGCATGTATCTAAATTAGAACAAACCATTTCTTCAAAAGCATTAAATTTTAAACCTAAGGTTTTAAAACCATCTGTCCATTTAATAGGAAGGGAACCTTCTTTGTTAAATTTATTTCTTCCAATCCATGTTGCTTCGGTTTTCGAAAAATTGACTTTTAACCCTGAACACTTCTCAAAATCGTTAAAGGAATCTAATAAAATTTGCGCGGAAAATACATCTTTCAAAAAACAAGTGGTATCATCAGCCAACTGTGAAATTTTTATTTCGGTATCCCCAATTTTTATACCAGATATCTGATTGTTCTTACGAATACTTATTGCCAGCAGTTCAACTGCCAAAATAAATAAAAAAGGAGACAAAGGACACCCTTGTCGAACACCTCTCTCAATTTTGAATGGACTAGAACTAAATCCATTATTAACGACAAGACTAGATATATTTGAGTATAAAGTTAAGACCCATTTCCGGAACTTGCTACCAAAATTAAAACAAACCAATGCTTTTTGAATGAATTTCCATTCTAGCGTATCAAACGCCTTTTCGAAATCGACTAGTAATATAAGCCCTGGATAATTCTTTAAAGTAGTAAACAATATAATATCAGCAATGAGTCGTAGATTTTCACCAATGAATCTACCAGCCACATATCCCGTCTGGTCCGGATCTATAAGTTTTGGAAGAAATAATTTCATTCTTTCTGCAATAACTTTGGCTAATAGTTTGTAATCAAAATTTAAGAGAGAAAGAGGACGCCAGTTCGACAAGAGTGTTCTATCTTTATCTTTCTTTGGAATAAGAGTCAGAATACCCCGTCTTTGGTCTATTGAGAGGGTTCCGGTTTCGAAGGAATATTCATAGCTTTCTAAAACATATTTTTTTATATCAATCCAGAAAAATTTGTAAAACTCAGCAGTTAGCCCGTCTGTACCAGGGCTTTTATTATTTTTAAATGTTTTCAAAACTTTAACGCACTCAGATTCTGAAATATCTGCATCGCATATATCCTTTTCCAGATCTGTAAGCTTAGGAATAAAATTTAAATCAAAAAAATTAGAATCACCTGAATATTTATCAGGGTCTTCTTTTGATGAGTACAGATTTTCATAGAAATTTCTCTCTTCGTTTAGAATTTTTTCTTGTGACACAATTTCAATGTCGTTTACAACTAATTTGTTTATACATTTATTTTTATAATTGCGTTTTTCTAATGATAAGAAGAATCGGTTCTTGACATATTACCAATTCCCAATATATTATCAGTAAGACCGAGAGGATAAACTGTTTGTATTTTTTTCTTGATCGTACAAGTTTTGAATGAGATTCCCCATGTTGCTTATTTACTACTTCTAAAGGTTGAACCGTTAAATATTTAATATGGTGATTGTGCTGCTTACGGTGATGATAAATGATACTTTGAAATTAAAAGGGTCATCTACAACGATAAAGGTCTTATTGGGTGCGTTTAGATAAATACCGTCCGGTATATTCTACGTACTCAATACCACAATACGGTCTGTTTCAGGTAAGTAAATAGATAATATTTTTAGTTTTTTAATTTATATCAGTTTCAAAATTTAAGGAAAATGTTTGACCATTAAAAGTGGACCTCATCGTATTGTTGGTGGAAAGACGATTATATGTTTATCATTTATGGCAGGACACTTATCGATAGAAGGGTACCTACGACTGCTATTGTTGAAAATGTTAGCAATTGTAGTCTTTTTAGATATTTGAAGATTGAGACCTGTAGATACCCTTTGAACAAGATTGTTAATAAATATTTTTCCGTTTCTGAGCTTCATTTTGTTATTCGTATTTCAATTGAACATGTTGAAAGGAGATAAAACTGGCGTCCTAAATACGAACCAGCATACAGGAATATAGTATACTAGTAATATGCTATTTGCAAACTTTAAAGTGTAAATAAACAAATATATATACCATATGATTCATCCTTTGAATTGCACATTTGATGTTTTCACCTTCAAATGCATTTGCTATAAAAGTCAGTTGCATGTCCGGCAAAAAATCAAGATCATGATTTGTTGGTAGACGTGCAAAAATTGCCCCATCAATACCAGATCGTGTCTGAACACCTGTATAATATAACACATGAAATGTTTAAAAATTGTTCGTTGAATCGTATTCGTTCCCAACAAAAACCCTATTAATTTTGAAGTTAAGGTTGTTTCGATACAAAATGCTTTGTCTACTAAAGTTTTAACTACTTTGGATACAATTAGGTGTCTGCGCTTATGATTTGTTAACTGTGATGGAAGACATAAAAACATTTGTGTATTTGTATGAAGTAGAAAGAGACTTGATTTTTGCAATTTGTTTGGAAATATTCAAGATGACAAACATAATTTCTTCGAAATGCGGGCAGTATAATACGATTTTACATGTATTTTATAACATAAAAAACATCGTTCAATATTAATTCTATTTGCACTTTTTGACAAATAGTTTATAACAAACTGTTTCATTACATGCTTGTATAATGCATAATTTTATCGAAAGTGCCTGCGCTAAATAAAAAAGACAAAACTCTCCCTAGAAGAGCAACCCTCTAAAACTACAAAAAGCAAAATTAATGAAGCAAAAAACAAAATAATCACAGACTAAATAATTAAACAATGGAATCTTACAGTTTAGGCACACTTGCTATTCTTGTTATATTGCCTACAATCTCGATGTTGTTTCAAATCTTCTCAAAGAACTAAAAACGAGATTTTCCAAGTTCTGTAATGTCTCGGTCATTTATATGGACCATGTCCAGTTTTTCAATAAACAATTTTTCGAGCATATCATAGTGATTTTTTCTTAAAGGATTATATTAAAGCTATCAGATCTGCTTCTTATCTGAATATTTTTCTTTACATTTACACACATGAACGACTTCAATCTAAAACCTAGTGACTATTCAAACTTTCCCATATCGCAGTAGTATCAATCTGTCGCATTTCATGCCGTTTACAAACTAAAGTGAAACATACGCTTCTGGTGAATCTTAGTTCAACCGTTGCTTGTCGGTGTTTATTATTGCTCAAACTTTGTTTGTTTTCAGGCAAATTATTGACAACATTGTGTCGACTGCTTTCTTTTTCGTTGTTTTTCTTTCTGGGTATGGTCTGGTCTGCCTTTATTCGATTTCATACTTTTTAATGCTCCCTTGGTGTCTTCACTCTTTTTTTACATACGTGAATTTCCACATTTCAAGGACTTCATGAACATGGATGTACTCTTAACGCAAAAGAACACTAACAGGGTTATGAGAAAAAACGACTGAACCGATACTTCACAAGTTCCAAGGTCATCATCATGGATTGATTGACCGCGTCTAAAGTAAGAAGATAAATGGGTTGCAGACTTAGGTGTTAAGATACAAGAAAAGTCGTCTGGCTATTAGATTTCCCTATTGTGTCCTATTTAATATTGTACTCAATACTGTGACATTAGGAGTGAATATTTGTGGTAGATCCATCCATTGCAGGATGAGCTTATCTGGTCTTCACAACCGGTCTCGCTTCGTTTTGGATTTCATGGAATTTTGTTTTTTCATGTTGGCTTATATGTAATGACTTCATCAACTGGGATGTGCTCCTTAAAGCTATTCTAACAGGGTTATGTGGAAAAATAACTGAAACCGACATGTCGCAAGTTTCACAGTCACCACCATGAATTGATTGACCCATATGATGTACTAACTAACGAGATGCATTAGGTGTGAAGCTACCATAAAAGTCGTCTGATCTATAAATATACCGATTTTGGCCCATTCCGTACCGTGACATAAGAAGTGAGTCTGGATATACATTGGTGGTTGGGGGGTCGGGGTTGCATCAATTGCAGGATACCGGTATCTGGTCTTCACATCCGTTGTTGTTCTTTTTTTGAAATTGATGCAATTCCTTCATATTTGATCTTGGTTTGCATGTTTAAAATGGATTCATGAAACTTGAAAATTTGCAAAATACTGATGCCTTCTATAACGTTACTTAGTATGTACACAAACTGTTCAAATGGTATTCAATGACAACCAATATTATAATAACACTTTTAGGGGTGTTGTATCCGTTTTTTCCTTGAGGTGTAGTATCTAGCTTTCCATAGTAGCGATTGCATTGTGACTACTTTCTTCATTATGTGCCGTATTTCACTTTCTTGTGTACGTTAATGGTCATCAGTTGGTACCTTGAATGTGAAAGGTTTTTACTGTGGTTATTTTTCCTTCAACGAATAATTGTGTAGGCAGGCAAATGGGATGGTTTCTGCGTAGGCAAAAATTTTTTTTACGCAGCTAATGTTTTCCATATGCCAAATCAGACTATCTGTCTGTAATTGATTGTCTTTGTTTGTCCTTCTATTTTTCCATGGAGTCAGGCTTTGTGTTTTGTGTGATCTGCCGTACTGTGTAATGTTTTTTTTTTTATTATTCATGTTATTTTATTTATGTATTATTTGTATTACACAGTTGTATACCTGTTTTGTAAAATATATAGTCCATAATGGATTGCTGGTCTAAAGCCTTCTCTTGGTTCATATTCATAGGAGTAGTAATTGAGTACTGGAAAAAGTATTGCATGTGATATTGCATTCCTTCACCGACTGGAAGATCAGCTTTCAGTGGTACCTGCCATTACAAAACATCTGATTGAAATTAGAATTTAAAGGGAACACTGCCATAGAAACTGCATCAGTGTAAAGATAAAGTAGTTCATAATCAAAGAAATACTGAACTTCCAATCTAAATGTTTTGTATCTTGCGCAAACCTACAATATTCATTGTTTTGGTTTGGAACTGATATTGCAGATGTAGAACTGTATACTCTTATTAGATATTGAAAGGCATTGTTTAAATTTTCTTTTAAAGTTAAAGCCAGAAAAGTGTATGAAATTAAAATGTCATACAAGCACCGGGTCGATACCGCTAATGGTGGTCCGAAGTACACATGTATCATAAGGTCAGTAGTCAGGGCTTCGACGCTGACAGGATTTATAGCAAACTGTTCTTAAATTATCTCGTGATAAAAATAAAAAAATAGTAAAAAAACGTTGGAATCATCAGGCAAAGTTAACCTTAATTTGATTTGGTTATTCTTTTGGGGTCCCTGTTCACAAAGTTCATCAAGTATTCGAGTATTTATTCACTTTGTCTCATGCTATATTGGATTTCAAATATGTAACTATGTATGGTATAAGTAGGTAATGAACCAATTATTTCCACATATAATGTAGTATTTAGGTCATGCGAGCACTTCAGCAGTGGTTACTGGGCATTTGTAATCGTTAGTGGCTGATAATCGTTTTGTTTAGAATGTGCCTGGTAATTGTTTTCTTTAAATACTTTCATATTCACAGATGTAGGAATCTGTATAAATAAACGTTTGTGCCATCTTTATCATTCGTATAATTTGGTTGCATGTTCGAAAATATAATGTATCGTTGTTGCAAGCTTAACATATGCACTTGGCGTTGTTTTACTGTAAATGGTTATAAAGATCGAAAGAATGTTTTAATTGATTTGGCTTTATATAGAGGAAATGCACGTTTTGCATACTGAATTATATGGCTGATATTTTTTATTATTGCATACTTGTCCATAAAGACAAAGACTTATATTTTACCAAGATCGTCTTGATTACAGGCGTAATATGTTGTATTATGTTGTATTTCAAAATGACAATTACAGTTTATAATTACCCTTAACTTTTCCAGATGATGTCTTGGTCCTACGCCAGACAATAACAGGAGTTTTGGTGACCCAAACACTCCTGCAGAAATGATAACTTCTTCCCTGGCATAGATTCGTGTCTTCTTTCCATTTTTCATCACAACAACACCTTTGGCTTCGCCATTTTGTATAATAATCTACATGGTAATGACCTGAATTAACCTACTATACACGTAAATTTATGTTTGCAAACTAAAAATAAAATAATTTTGTTTAAAAAAAAAGCAGCTCTATAATTTTCTCAAGTAGTTATATGTTTATATATATATTCAACTTTCCTCGGTTTAAAACTTAGTCCTTCCGTTGTTATAAACATGGATTATTTTTAGAAATATAAGAACATTTTTCTTCAAACTGTATAAGTAAATTAATGGGTAAAGGTGTGACAAGTTGAGATTGCTATTCGGGAAATAACCAGAAAAGTACATGAAAAGTTATGGTCAAAGGAGAGGCGAAAGATACCAAAGGGACATTCGAACTCATAAGTCGAAATTAAACTGACAACGTCATGGCAAAAAACAAAAAAAGTCAAAAGAAAAACAACAGTTTACAAAACACAATATATCAAAGTCAAACAATATGACTTCGGTCATAAATAGGGGTCAAACTTATGATAGTCGGATTAAGAATATTTGATGTCACGACACCCTGATTGGCAATTTCATTATGAGCTGATCAGAGTGATTCAGGCACAGGGAAATCAATACACACAAACAAAAGAAGTTAAGTTTTCATGTTTTTGTTCACAATAACTGTTATTGAATTTGTGTTTTTAAATATTTTTTGAATGTTTTACTCTTTGTTATTAATGAGGCAAAAGGAAATATCCAAACTCATCAGTCGAAGAGGAAATGATAATGACATGGCAAAAAAAAAAAGAAAAACGAAAAACAATAAAAGACGAACAAGTCAAAAGAAATCTACATATAAAACTAAAGACTAATCTGCAAATACGCAACCTAAAACCGAGGTAATTGCAGGTGCCCCGGAAGAATAAACAGATTGTGCTCTATATGTGACATCCGTCAAATTGCTCATGGTACTTTAATTATATACTTAACGCCTGATTACGTTAAAAAGAAAGACATCATAATATATATTTGAATGATAATAGCTGCAACCATATATAATATCGAGAAGTGACTGCCTGGTGTTTTGTATATTATTCTAAAAGTAATAAAATGTTCAAGACAAATTAACTTAAATAGATATATATGTGTTATGCCATACTGCTTTTTGTTCTCAAAATCATATCAAACAAGACACAAAATTAAAGTTACTGATCCAAAATTTTATATACAATCAATATTTAAAACATTTACCTTTGTAACGTGGCTGTTGGTAGCAACCTGTAAATTCCGTCTGTGCAATTTTGGTCTTAGAAAACAACTTGCTGAAGAACAACGTTCGCCGTTTTTTACGTTTGCCTGTATGGCACAATATCCTTAGAGAAAAACAAAATCACATACTGGTCAGCTATCATATTAAGGTAAACAGAAAATGTATCTGTTTCATGCAAATATTAGATTAAGTGAAACTAATAGAATATGTCCAAATCCAACTTGAACAACCTTTTAATTCTATTTAGTAAGATTGATAGTAATTTTGGAGTCATTACCCGAAGTTTTATCATTCGCACCGTAGTCAAACCTGAATTATTCAAGAACTAGAATTCAATAAGATGGTAAACAGATCGTACACAAACTTTAAAAGGATAGGAAAAAAAACAAAAATATAGAAGAATACATAAAATATGCAGCACCATTAACAATACAGAATTGAAATGTTGCAAATGGAATTCCTACATGTCCTTCAGGTCAATTAATAAAAACAAAGAAAAAAAAACGCGCTCTGAAATAAAGTGTTTTGAAAAGTTCATTCATATATATCCGTTTGTGTTTAAGTTTCAGCGCAAACGGATAATCCTTCAAACGATAGAAGCTAGAACAAATCAGCCAAAAAACAAACGACGACGACACTTAATAAGAAGAACAAAAAACTAATAAAAAGACAAAGGAATGATCACATTGAATACAGTTCGCAACTTTTGCTATGCAACCCTTGAAACAACCCAACATCGGTTGTTTTTACTTCCAATGAGTAACTCGACGAGTAACAATTGAAGAGCAAAAATTGCTTTCTTAAACATCTGAGGTTTTTGGTTTGGCTCTTTCTGATCAATATTTTGCATCCTGTGTGGTATTTTGTGTGGTGTTGTCTTGATTTTATAGGACTTTTTAGTAGCGAGAGAATTCGACAAAGAATTGGTGTAAAAGGAGACGGTGTGATAAAATCACATATTATACTATAAGTTTGAAAATAACAAGTAGTGTTATTCAAGGAATAATTCATTCAAATTTCCTTATTTATCTTTTGATTATATTTCGTTCTTAATTCCGTTTGGTCTACAAACTTTTTGCATTAAAAGAGAGGGACGAAAGATACCATAGGGACAGTCAAACTCATAGATCGAAAACAAACTGACAACGTCATGGCCAAAAATAAAAAGACAAACAGACAAATAATAGTACAGATGACACAACATAGAAAACTAAAGACTAAGCAACACGAACCCCACCAAAACTGGGGGTGATCTCAGGTGCTCACGAAGGGTAAGCAGATCCTGCTCCACATGTGGCACCCGCCGAGTTGCTTATGTTATTACAAATCCGGTAAATAGTCTAATTCGGTAAGTCACATTCGTGAAAAGGGAAGGGTATTGTAGTTACGACATAAGGAATATATCCGATATCATCTGTGAAACGGTTATTCCATAACGGTCAACCAACTCGTGATGGCGTCCGTAAAATTTACGAAGGGATGACTTCAACTTCACCATTTGGAACTCTTGGTTTAATAGCTTCCTTGTGAGCAGCAATCCTCTATCAAGGAAATCATGATAGGAAACACAAGCCCGGGAATATCGTATCAATTGGGAGATATATACTCCGTATGCAGGCGCTGCTGGAATGTTGCTACATAGAAATGGAAAGTTCACAATTGGGAAGCTGAAATCATCTCTTTTGTCGTAAAGTTTTGTTTTCAACCGACCCTCATTGTCAATTTCTAGATGTAAGTCAAGATATGAGGCAGACTAACTGTATCTGTAGTATCCTTTATCTCTAGTTCGATGGGATAGATTCGTTCAACATAGTCACCAAATTTTGTATTATTTAGTGAGAGAACATCATCTATATAGCGGAACGTAGAGTTAAGGATATTGCTAACTTCTTATCTCTCTTCCTAAGAAGCTCCTGTATGAAGTCAGCCTCATAATAAAATGATTGAATGATACACTGCACAAAGCACAAAACAATCTAGTTTTGAGATCATGACAATAATATATTTAGGTTTGAGCCAAGTCCTTCCCCAAGTATATGATTTGATTTGATGTTTTGATGTTTTAACGCCACGTTTAAGCACCGCTTTTTAGGCTATTTTGTGCTGGACATTTTTTATTGGTGGAGGAAGCAGGAGTGCCAGGAGAAAACCATCAACCTTCGATAGGAAAACTGACAATCCTAGTCATTTAAGATTGGAGTCAAGTGCACCCGCACCAGCGGGGTTCGATCTCACAACCTCAGTGTTGACTGACTAGTGATTACAGTAGTAACTACTTAGACCACTCGGCCACCGAGGCCCCCTCCTCAACTATATATTTAGCGATGAATAGTCTTATTATAAATGTTGATGGGGGTAAATACTTTTTTTTTTAAGCTGATATCTTATTTAGCTAAAAACTATGAGTGAAATGACCGTTTCGGTCAAACATGAAAACAGAAAGATTGTGTGCTGTTTACAATAAGGTAACTATCTACAAGAGTTCAAAAGTGAGCTCCTGTATGTCACCACACGGCCCTCAACAATAAGCAATATCCATACCGTATAAAAATCAGCTATCAAATAGCAATTTCAACATGTTGACTTCACAACTGACATTTCTGTTCTATAATGCCCTTATTGTATATTCTTGATCAATTCTAAATAGAGCCATCAACATACTTTTGAAATTATGAAAATGGTTAACTGTCCTTGAATGTCAGGGGACATATAATGACTCTTATCATATATCCTTCTTCCCTTAGATATTCAATATACACCATACATTCAGAGTAAAACAAGATTAACAATCATTATATCAGTAGATTGGAAAATAATTACCAAGTTGATTAAAACCATTACAGTCAGTGACTGGCAAGCCTTTTTCCTTAGCTGCTAACCTATGAAGGAACTCTAGTGGAGCGGTGTGTCCTTCTGTAATAACCAAGGGACCTCCATGTCCATGATACGCTACGATATAGAAATTTGATAAATATTTAACTCAAAGATAGTTTCTGACCATAGATGTACATGTCAAATACAAATGTTCATTGAGTTTAAATCGTACATATTCTGCTCAAATGTTCCTATAACATTTATATGCAAACAGTATGAGGTCAAAATATTTTCATTTTAAGGAAAAGCACATCAATTCCCTTGAGGTAATAGAAAGTGTTCCTGCTAGAACATCCAATGCTGACATAATAAGAATATGTCATCATACTTATGATACCCTCTAAATCACTCTTTGATTACCCCGACATGTCATATCCTCTAAATTATTTTCTATGACGAGGTTTTTCGTTGAAAATCTCAACAAGTATATGTATGAACGTTTAAATGTTCAGAAATTCTTTGATAATGGTTTCAAATAAATCATTGATTGATTTTCTTTGTTTCGCGTCTAAATATTTCATGCATATTAGGGATGAAAACAATTTCAACAAACCAGAATGTAGATGGGCTCAGTACATTTGATCAACCCCGAATAAATGACGGGAAATGTAAAAAAACACAGGGAAAGGGAGGGTATGTTGAAAAGGGAAAAACGATGCTAATGTACCATTTAATGTTTTGTATTGCTTCTTTTTTCTAACTTAATAGATGTAAAAACATGGCTACAACAAGAAAAACATAGCTACCACAAGGTTTCAGTGTACATCTTGTACGTGTATTGCACACATTGCAACTTTGGAACAGTTTCACAAAATAAATTCATAATTTACATAATTTCCAATTGTTGCACTGTTTACAATATAGTATGAGGGTTTTCACTATTTTCTTTACTTCATCTATATATTGCAAATTACATTTTGTTTAACTTACAGGAATTAATAAGCTCTGGAATTTGAATATCTTCTGACTTTTTGAAGTATGGTAAAACATCATCATAACCCCATCCAGTACAACCTTCTTTTTTCCACTTGTCATAATCATAACGACTTCCTCTAATGTAATACATTCCATTGATACTGCCAGTACCGCCCAAGACTTTACCGCAATGGCCTTTGGTCTTCTAATGACAAAACAACGATGTTTTAATTGTTTGATCATATGTTTTTTAAGGTCACCGTACAGTTAAATATTTAGTCAGTGTAAAACATTATCTATCTAATTGAACTTGAATTTTGAGAGGCGTTAGACACCAAAGACACATTTAAATTTAATACGTCGAAGATAAACAGGGAACGCCATGGCAAACAAAAAACCAAAATACGACTGAAAGGCAAACATCAGTCAGCAAACACTTCAAATAAATTGTAGACTAAAATCCGAAACAGATGTCTGGTGTGAATCATGAGAGTAAAGAAATATGAATAAGTTTTCAAAGCGAAGCCTGGGTAAATTTTGATTAAACAGTACAATCGCTACGAAGTGGGTTTCAGAATAAAATACAACACGAGACAACAAGTCAATGATACAACGACCAGTTAGGCAGGATGCGTTTATACTATTGTCTGCTTTTTATCCACATAGTCAACAATTTTTAGTAGGTTCTTTATAAACAATGTGTTTTCTTGATGTTTGCAATCATTGATAGGTGATACATACAATATGTATTGTCCTCCTTTCGGTATCTCTTTGTTTTTTACCCTTTGTGGTTCCTACTTATTTCAAGTATATGTTAACTTTTATTTATATTTACTCGGACTTATAACACTTGTACTAATTTACAGACAAAAAAATCAGGAATACATCGAAGGCCTTTTGTAAACTGGTTATCACTAGTAAGGCAATTTTGATCTGAAACTGTCATTCGGATCTGAACAGCTCTTAAAAGACTGCACAATAAATCATTAAGTCATTTTGAGTCTTTTCGTTAATTTTTAAATTTATCTACTGCGGTAAATTCAGTACAGTTCAGACAATTCGCTTGCAGGCAATTAAGATATGTACAGTCTATGTTCAGACTGTTCAGTAGTTGTTATTTACCTGTACACATCTGAAACATACCGATATGATTGAAAAGCTACAACGTACTGGACCGTACTTAATTGACTGCAAGAGAATTGTCTGAATATTAAAAGAACGCCGATACGTTAATTAAAAAGATTTACTATCTAGTGAATGTTTAAAATGTGATATTTAATGGTAAATGTAATGAACATTAATGATCAGACAGTCTATTCAACTCTGAAATTTAAGAAATATCGGAACACCAATCCCCGTTAGGAACATACAATAGTCAATCATATTTCAAATACAACATTATAAGGTATTCTCACCCGGCTAGCCTCTGACATAAAAGAATACTTTTGTGGTACTGTGTCAAAACTCCAATTTTCCTTTGTCCATAATGTTCGTAGCCATTGTGATGGTATTCGGGTAAATTCGTTTTCCAAATCAGATCCTCCAGCTTCCAGTAATAACACATTTGTTCGGTCTTCGGACAACCTAGTTGCAATAATACTACCCGCTGATCCAGCACCAACTGTAAACAAATAGTAGTGAAACATTTACAGAAAGCTGAAAATTAATTTTTTTTTACCATTGCACATCAGTACATGAAGCAGTCACATATCAAATGATTTTTTGGGGTAGCCTTTTCCATTTATGTTCATATTTTATTGACATCAATCATCAACATATTGGGTCGGTACCTCTGTTGAAGACTACTAGTCCCCGAGGATTCCCGAGGATATCACCATGGCAGTTTTTGTTGTTTTTCGTGTTGATCTGATGATTCTAGTCATTTCCAACTGATTTTTAAAGTTTGTTCTTAGATTGGACTGTTTCACTACTGTCCTGACATAATGGTAGGATTGAGCCCTCTCAAACATGTTCAATCCCGCTATATTGTGTGTGTGTGTGCATGTCCTAATCTAGCTTGTAATTAAGTGGTTGTCGTTGGTTCTTGTCTGCAATGATCATGTTCAGCGAAAATTCGACCATATGTTTTATCTTTTGAATTTTTTCATGACGGGGCATTTTATTGCTTACTAAACTGTATTGGTTTTCCTCATTGCAAAAGGGCATACGGTGATTTTCAGTTGTGTACATCTTCGTCCGATTAGGTGTTGACGGATAGTTCACCTCGTATTTAGGTTGCGTTCGTGTTGCTCAGTCTTTAGTTTTCTATGTTGTGTTTTGTAGTCTGTTGTTTTTTTTTTTCTAGTTTTTCGTTTTTTACCATGGCATTGACAGTTCGTTTTCGACTTATGAGTTTGAATATCCTTTTGGTATCTTCCGCCTGTCTCTTGTCCCATAAGCAATCTAACCACGTCACCCTATTTGTATGCTAATGAAATTCTAAAAAAAAGGTTACTGGGATAAATCGTCCGAATGTTATTAAATGGAGTTCAAAATCATTATAAATAAATAACGACACGACTATATTGACCTTAAAAATCAAACCATATTTATCATGCTTTTGTCTTTGTTGTTTCATTGCCAATCGATAATAATTTTACTATTTTCGACGTCAACTTCTTCTCAGATTTTGTTTTACAAAGCGGAAAGTACGTTCAGCAGTAATATAGTTAAAACTATACTCATAATGAAAACACATACCTACGATGTAATTGTAGTACTTCTTGAAAGGCTGATCAAAGATTCCATCTGGATCTTTTTGCGCAGGCAGTTGTGTTGATAGGAAGTTAAGCAGTGTTGCATTGGCAAAGAGTGCTACCATGGAGGTTCCCAAGAACATTGCTTAAAATAAAATATGGTTTGTGGGAAGTATACTTAAGTTTTGTTGCTCCATCTTTTTAATATGCACTAAATAGCTTTGGTCATATCACAGTAATAAAAAGTTATATTTATTGCCTACAGGTAGTTATGCTAGTAAAGTATCAAAGAGTTTATAAAGATGGAACCGTTTTTATAACAAAAGTATTTACCAATCTATTTTAACTCTGTCCGAACACCAGTATCTTCCTTTTTTTTAAACGTTAAGCTGCAGTATGTATAACAAGTTACATGGTGATACGCATAGTGCAATAACACATTCTTATAACCAGTTTTTCGAATAACCTGTGGCAATAGCTATAAATTTATGAATCCGATACACATAATTATAATATTTACCCCAAAATATGATTGTTTAAGATGTGCAAGGTAATCAACTATTCTGCTTAAGGCGATGACTAAAACCCTTTGAAAGTTATGGTACTTTAAACTGTCCACTTTGAATCGGATTATAAAAGTCATTTAAAAATTCATTATTTTCTCTCAATGTAAATCGAGGGAAATGAAATAGATGTTATATGCCAGTAAAACCTATGGGACAATTATATTATTTGCATTTAATAATATTTTGAGATACATACAAACCGTTTTTTTTTTTTTTAAATACTTAGAAAAATAGCTATTTGCGTGTTCAAAAATGACCGAATATAATTCCAGCATTTTATAATATTGTGTGACCATTGAGACTTGGAGCTAACCGTCTCAATAAATCACATTTTGAAGACATTTGAGTATACTACATATGTAGTTTTTATATTTCTACTCACGACTATTGTCTGGTTATGACTTATATGAACATGTAAATGCATCCACTTTTTCACGGCTGTATCATACAGCATTTGAACACATATCATCTGCACGTTTTTGGTCGGTCGGTAAATACGTGAACAGTAAACTACCGTCAGGTCATTGCAAGTGGCCAAAGACGACAATTTCTGGTTTTGTTTCAAGAAGTTACAAAGCACATACTCTGTCTTCTGTATAATGCCAAGAAATGAAGAAACATTTGATAAAAGAGATTAACAGTCCTTATCAGATGTACTGTTAAATATTACATGTACCTGGCGTATTTTCAAATAAAGAGTGCCTGTTTTAGATATGCCAGTAAAAATAGAAAACAATGACTGAAACCCAAAATGAGATTCAATTGTCAATCATCTCAAACTATTCAAACTCTTTAATTTAATATTAAGGTTAGTTTTTTTTATATCTGTTTTTACTACAATCCTCCATATTGTTTATGAAACATCAACCCATGATTAAAATCTAGCGATTTTAAAAAGAGAGCTTACTAAATGTTCTATAGATCGAAAACAAACTGACAACGCCATGGCCAAAAATAAAAAGACAAACAGATGACACAACATAGAAAACTAAAGCTTAAGCAACATGAACCCCACTAAAAACTGGGGGTGATCTCAGATGCTCCGGAAGGGTAAGCAGATCTTGCTCCACATGTGGTATCCGTCGTGTTGCTTATGTTATTACAAATCCGGTAAATAGTCTAATTCGGTAGGTCACATTTGTGAAAAGGGAAGGGTATTGTAGTTACGATATAAGGAACATATCCGATATCATCTGTGAAACGGTTATACCATAACGGCCAACCAACTCGTGATGGCGTCCGTAAAATTTACGAAGGGATGATTTCAACTTCACCATTTGGAACTCTTGGATTAATTGCTTCCTTGTGAGCAGCAATCCTCTATCAAGGAAATCATGATAGGAAATACAAGCCCGGGAATATCGTATTAATTGGGAGATATATACTCCGTATGCAGGCGCTGCTGGAATGTTGCTACATAGAAATGGAAAGTTCACAATTGGGAAGCTGAAATCATCTCTTTTGTCGTAAAGTTTTGTTTTCAACCGACCGTCATTGTCAATTTCTAGATGTAAGTCAAGATATCAGGCAGACTTAACTGTATCTGTAATATCCTTTATCTCTAGTTCGATGGGGTCGTTCAACACAGCCACCAAATTTTGTATTATTTAGTGAGAGAACATCATCTATATAGCGGAACGTAAAGTTAAAGGATATTGCTAACTTCTTATCTCTCTTCCTAAGAAGTTCCTGTATGAAGTCAGCCCCATGATAATAAAGAAACAAGTCGGCAAGAAGAGGGGCACAATTGGTTCCCATTAGAATTCCGACAGTCTGGTGAAAATCACGTCCTTCAAACGTAACAAATATGTTGTCTATCAAGAAATCAAGCATCTTGATAATGTTAGTTTCAGAGAATTTTTTGTTTTAATCAGAGTGATTCTTTACAAAGTAGGATTTATCCCTCCCCAAGACAAGATACTTGTATCTACGTTCGTCATTCTTTTTAATGAAACAAAGTAATACCAACTCTTTCAATTTGTCTTTTAGTTTGGAATGGGGAATACTTGTGTAAAGTGTAGAAAAGTCAAATGTTTTAATACTATTGCAAGATGAGAGAGTCTTAGATTGTATGTACTCTAAAAGATCTTTGAAATTTTGTAGTATCCACATCTGATTCACGCCACCTCTAGAATAGGCAGTTTCACAATAACTTTGAAGCCCGGCTTTGATTGCTGATAAAACAGATGTTAATAATTTAGAAAGAGGTTTCGTGGAGCTCTTGGAAGACCCAGCAATAAACCGTTGTTTGTAAGGACACTTATGTAGTTTAGGTATCATATCATTGACATATTACAGAAGCATTGACGTTCGGCATAGACATATACATATCCTTTTTTTACCATAATTCGAGTAATAAATTGACTTTCGAAATACTCAAAAACTTCAATGCATACAGATGTCAGTTATTTACTTATCCAAAAAGAGATTAAATGGTGAACATCCTTAAACAATAACCAAGTCATAAATAAATCGCTATATTGTTTACCTTATGATAATGTTATAAACACTTTGTTTCCCAATGGAACGAAGAACTATCATTACTGTAATAAGTTTGTGATATAAATTGACGTAAGTAATAAATAATATCGTAAATGTAAATATGAAAACAAGCATAAAGTGAAATAGGTGCGAAGTTCAGTTGCAAAGCTGCTTTAATTTTATTTTTTTTTGTTTACACTGTATGTATTTATTTTTTGCATTTTGATTTACTTTACAACTATTATTTAAATATGAGTGAATCATCTTAAAACGAGAAGATATCTTTTGATCAATGGTATAAAACTTCACTTTAATAACAGATTTTCTCTTTACTTTTAAATTATACTTTTATAGATAGCAATCACTTACAACATATTCAACATGTGTCATTTCCCTACAAAAGATAGGTACACGGTATTTATTAAATTAATACGCTTTAAAAATATCATCAGTATAGATTAGAAAAAGAGAGTGAACTGTCCTATTAACGTGAAGTTCTAGACAACTGATCATCAGATATCCTCCTCGTTTGACTTAAATTAAAAGAAAAAAGATAGATAGATACTTACAATAGTGCAAATTAATTTGTAAAAGTGTATACGAATAAGCTAGCTGAATTCCTTACGGTTTTCCTCAAATGTATGATACAGATAAATCTGATCATGAATTCTTTGTCAAAATACAACCGATTATTATTGCAGTAGAAAGAATAATGAAACGAACCAATGCTACTATGTAAAGTATTATAATAAGACAAAATTAGATTGCGATTTTACTTATTCATAAAATTAATGAGATACATCATTTTAAACTAATTTCTGGAAAAGACAATAATCTTCATACATGGAAGATTTTAGAAATATAGCAATCACGGTGGGTATAGTTTCTAGTTGAGATCGTTCCAGTTTTTTTCGAGTAAAGACCAGGTTTATTCGACTGTATGCCATGTTTTTTCGAGTGCATTACATGTGATCAAATCGATTAACTGTTATTTCGCAAGTATACTAGTTTTATTCATGATCTTTCATCTTATTAATACTATGCGTGTTTTCAACTCAAAAGATGCATGATTACCATGTTTTTCACTTAAAATTTAGCTTTTTACAGTGTCCAGGTTTTTTCGAGTACAACATTTAAAACGTTCGGGTTTTTCAAAAGCGGTCCGGGTTTTGTAAAGAATTATAAATAAGGAAAAACGTATTCTGGGCCTTTAAAACTGACTTTATTGATTTTATAACTGTAATTTTGTGAAGGACTATAAGATATAATCACAAAAAGTCACAAAAAAAATATTATTATGTTGATTAGATTTAACCCATTTCAATTTAATGCTAATTTTCTTTTCTGATTACAATTACCATAACCTCGCAGTGTTAAGACATAGTAGAAATCACTGGATCATTTATAAAACGGTCATCATGGTCATTAGAACCGAATATACAGAGGATTCATAATGTTTTTCATATTATATTATGCCTCCTTTGCTTTTACAGTTATAATATTTTATGTTTGTTATATATAACAGAGGTAGACCTTGGAAGAGGGGCTCGAAAAAGTGGACAGCAGTACAAAATAAAAAAAATAATAAATATAAACACGAATTGTCTACCATGAGAGCCTCCTCCTCCAAAACACATTTAATCCGCCCCTGTATTTTTTGCAACAACAAACTTAATCTTTGATTACAATAACATTTGAATTGAATGGAATGCATAATAAACAATGCAATAATGTAGCTATCAGCTTTTATATGATTACTTTGAAATGAGAAAACAAAAATGTTCGAATTCAGATAATTTACCGAATGAAATCCACATCGGAATACGTATGTTTGAATCGATACAACACGTTTACATGGGTGTGGACATGTTAAATTGATCTAAACAAACGTAAGCCGGTGTTGAATGCATACAGTGAATCTGCATGATGTGAACGGTCTATGAATGGGTGCAGACATGTTTTATCTATCCACACACACACGTATTCCGGTGTCCATGAATTTCATTGTTGTGACAAACAACACAATACAAATGAACGATGCTTTTTAATGAAATGTGTAAACACAGAATTATCAAACTCGTTTAATGCACTTGTATTGTGTTTTGAAAAGTTTTTGAACAACAAATTTAATTAATCAGTTCCATAATTATGAAATCATTTAGAAAGGGTTTGATAGACGGAAGAGCAAATCAAAAGACACATTTATTGCAATTTCACATTCATAAAGATAAATGCAATGCATGGTAATTTACGTTTGAATTTGAAATATGGCAGTTAACCGTTAATTAAACATTTGACTTACAATAAAGATAGACAATAGATATTTGCACCAACAAATATTTTAACATGTTTAAGACAAAAATACAAAGATAAAAGAATTTACCTTATCTAAGAACTCAATTTAGCATTCGACACTGTTGTGAAGTTGTCACACATAACGTTCACCTGTAGAAGATAAATGTATTTTATATTTAATTTGTTTAACAAATGAACCAGTGAGTTCAGGTAAACAGATTATGTAAAACTTGGGTTTTTTTATTCATAGGATAACAATTGTAACATATGTAAATAAAACTTCAGTGCTTACAGCTGTTTCACAAACCACGCCTCTTTTTGGGAGATAAATAATATTCATAGATATTTCGTTTTGTTAACCTACTGGTTCCAAGATATCATCTCTATGCTTTTTCTCATAAAAACATAACTTGGACATATTACCAGTATAAATACACATGAATAGCGGCCAAATTGAAATTTGTGGAAGACCCAACTTGAAGGGAGGGGTAGTACAGAATTTTAATATAAGTTTTAACTCTTAGAAGTTCGGGGCATATAAAGGTTAAAAATATGCCGCACAGCCCTATATTTTGACCTTTGAAAAAAACAGTAGCGCATATGAGCTTTCCATTCTAGGATGTAATTTTTTACGAAACTTCCTAGTAAAAGTGGTACAATTTTAGCCGTAAAAGGAGTTCCTGTGGGAAATTGCATTGTTTATATTTACAGAATTGCAACCTATATTTGGTGAAAAAAGAGAACATGTAGAATTTCACCAAATCTGGTTTATCTTCAAAGTCTTAATAAAATTAACTCAAATATAAAGTGTTATAAATATTTCATGAAGATTGAGAAAATCCTGGGCCTTTACTATGATGACTCAGCATAAATTCACAGTTTACAATATGCATAGTTTACCTAAAGCCCTGTATGTAAAGTAAATTCATTATATATGCACATTTGTAATTTAAATTGTTAAGCAGTGCTTTTATTTACTCTTCGCAGTCATTGAAACTCATAGATCATTGATAAATATGAGTGTTAGGGTGTTTTTGTCCTGTCGAAAACCCAAAAGTAAGCGGTAACACCGAGATGTGCTTTCTTGTGACCGCGGCATAACAAACTACAAGCTAGAGATACAAAAATATCTCAATAAAACTAACAATAGTGTGTTCTATCCTAAAAATGTACTAAATATTCCATATTCACAGAAACAGAAGAATTATTTTGCAAATTTGAGGCCCCAGGGGCAAAAAACAGAGAAAAATCCCTAGCTCCTGGGTCATAAAACAGATTTAGCCTTTGAAGGCTATGATTTTATTATTATAAAGGTTTTTTGTAAAGAAAACAATAACTGTGCTTTGAATTTATGCAAAAAACAGATTCCATCACTCAGTTCTATAAAACGTTTAGTGAATTCATATATAAGACTGGTTAATTCATATATACAATTTTGGCAAATATTGCTTTGTTTAAACACTTCTAGTCATATATTAACCAAATTGTGTTAGGTATTTAGTTAGAGATAGTATTATTGTGACAAGATTTCTAAACTGACCATTTGAGGCAGAAATTGTGAACTTTTATAGATAAATAGGCATACAGTAAGATATGGGCTGGAGACAGAGGCAGGATTGGATACTTTATATAATCTTGAATCTTGTAATGATTAACTACTAAACTTTACATTTATAGTATTCTGAAATGTTATCAACTTGTTATCAGAATAGTTTCATACAGGTTATAGGCATTTTATGTCAGAAAACATGATCATAGGGTAAGCTGACATTAATTAAAGTCTTCTTTTCAAATTCGTTAAAAATTGAAACAGGGGTGGAGGTATAAAATGTACTGTAAAAGAAAAGTTAGAGCATATGCAGTGATTTCTGTTAGGCTATGATTCTGATAAATAACTATTGTTGTGAGAAAAAGTGTTTTTCAAGATTTTTTCTATTTAAATAAATGTTAGTATAGGTTGCACTTTGTAAATACACGCCTCTTTTGGGGAGATATATAATATTCATAGATATTTCGTTTTGGTAACTTATGGTTCCCAGATATGATCTCTATGTTTCATCTCGTAGAGACATAACTTGGACATATTACCAGTATAAATACACATGAATAGCGCGGCCAAATTGAAATATGTGGAAGACCCAAAGTGAAGGAAAATGTAGTACAGACTTTCAGTATAAGTTTAAACTCTTAGAAGTTCGGGGCATATACATTTTGAAAATATGCCGTACAGCCCTATAGTTTGACCTTTGACAAACATTGAAGCGCATATGAGCTTTCCATTCTAGGATGTAATTTTTTACGAAACTTCCTAGTAAAAGTGGTACAGTTTTAGCCGTAAAAGGAGTTCATATGGGAAATTGCATTGTCTATATTTACATAATTGCAACCTATATTGGGTTTATTTAATCATTTTCGATGCCTTTTATAGCTTTTCAGTTGTTTTTTCTTTTTTTATTATTATTGCACGGCGACCTATATCATCCATGTCCTTATGGGTCTGGTGAACTGTTTGTTTTTTTTAAGTTATCCTATTTCTATGAAAAGATAATCGCTTTTAGTCCCGTACATTATACAGTAAAATGCTAATCCTTCTTATGTACAAATTTCTTTCTGAAATAGAAATCCATCCCTGCAAAAAAACCAGACATATATATTCGAGGGTCACGTGACTTCACAACACCATCTCGCGCGCGGACCTAAATTTAGAATAAAACATTCCATATCCAAATAAGGAAAACAAAACTTCCAACATAAAACTTACTCCGTTTTCCTACAAATTAAATCAAAATGCATACACAACAAATAGATGAAAAATGGAAATCCGAGGTAACATAGAAACTAGAGAAAATTTAAAAAACGAATGATGCTAGGATCAATTTTTATGAGGACATCTCAGGCGTCCGTTTGGCTGTGCGGGATGTATAAGGACGCAGTCACGTTCGGTCAGAATATAGGCGTTATTTAAGTTAGCTGCGTCGCACCGAGAAAGTGCCATGCAATCAATCAATCAATCAATCAATCAATCAATCAATCAATCGACCAACCAACCAACCAACCAAAAAAAAACAATTAATCATGTTTCGGAGGGGAAAGACCGTTTAACAATTGTTTTTAAAACAATTGATTTATATTTATTTTTTTTTTCTTCTTCCGACAAACCCTTTTCTTGCGGTATAAAGTTGTTTCGCGAGATGTCACTTAGATATTTTGGATATTATATCGAACAGTTATTGCGCTTTTAAAACTTATCTTGTTAAGCCGAAGACTTTTCTATTGTAAGAGTTATCTCCCCAAACACTGTATTTCTTGTGAGTGTATCTTATCCGTAACCAAAAAAGATAACGACAAAATTCTTTTTCATATTTGCTCGTTACATCCTCAGCAATTTTTGGCTGATTTGGATTGAAGCGATCCTGTGAAATTTTAAAGGAGTTATCTACCTTTACAAAATAAATTTGTCGTTATGTTTTTGTAACTCATAAACCGTAAGCCGTATAAATCTAGAGTCTTTTTATTTGAGGTCATTGGATCCTTACTAAGAAAATGAGGTCAAGGTCAAAGGTCAAAGTCATGTTCTCAATTTTGACATTTGCTTGTTTTTGCATATTCCTGACACTTTTTAAGATATATATGAAAAAACTAGTGCAAAATGTTTGCTTTATTGTGATGAAGATGAAATGTTTTATTTTATGGTAAATTGATTATTACTTCAAATTGGTACATGATAAATCCATAAGACCTTTTGCAAAATATTGAGCGACATCTGACCTTGAAAAATGTCAACCGGAAGTGACCTTGAGTGAACCGGAAGTAGTAATTTTGTTCTGATTTCATTGAAAAGTACCTAGAAACCATATATTTTTTGAATGGACATACATTAATCTTTCATTTGAGACCGGAAGTAGCCAATTATCTCCCTTTTTACATGCAGAAGTATATATAAACTATATATTTTTGGAATCAGTGTAAATGAAGTTATCATATGAGACCGGAAGTGATATTTTCTAAACCGGAAGTTGGCAATTATTTCCCTTATTTCAGGCAAAAATATATAAAAACCATATATCAATTGAATCAGTATGAAGAAACCTAAGCTTGGAAGCCTATAGTAACTTTTAGTAAACCGGAAGTAGCTTCTCATCAATAATTTAGAAAACTGAAGTGGAAAGACATTCATTTGTTCTCTGAACAATTGGTTTTTAATTTATTTTATATTTCTAAATAATATACAGTTGCTTGGTGAAAGTTAATTACATTTCAATAAACGGATTATCTAAGCAGTCAACCGAAATGGGTTGTCATAAACTATCTAAATAATTACCCATGCAACGCTTATGATGTTTTATCCATGGACGTAGAATGAATAAAGTTCCATGTTTTATCTTATATAAAGATTTACCGGGTAAAATTATTACATTGACAAATAAAACATTATTTTTTTTCAAAATGCAACAAGAATAAAGAATATTTTAAGAATTCAGTTGACAGTTTATATTTACCATTAGGTACCTATAAAGACCGATTCGATACCTCTCTTGATTTTTTTTTTATCATCAAGTTTTTTTTTAGCAAGTATCAAACAACATAAGTTAAGAAACGATTGATAAAATCTAGTGTACGGTTTATATTTCTGTTTCGTATCAGATTTGTTTTTATAACACCAGCGTTATTTCTCATTTTAAAAACAGTGAGACGCGTACTTGCTTTTTCTGAATTGACCAAAAAGCTATAAAATAACGTAGCGAAATGACCTTACTTGTAGATTAGACCTTTGTTTTTCCATTTTGAATTGTTTTACAATAGTCATTTTAGGAACCTTAATAGCTTGCTGTTCAGTGTGAGCCAAAGCTCCGTGTTGAGGCCGTACTTTTTATCTATAATTGTTTCATACTTTGTGACTTTGATGGAGAGCTGATTATTTGGCACACATACCACAATTTCTTATTTATATTTACAGGGAGCAGTTTATAATATTTTTATTTCGATAAAAAGAAATATGCAATTCAGTAAATCAAATCGATGTACCATATTGTTACATTCATAAGTCTTTAACTGAAGTAAATGATTGATAAAAATACATTATTTGTATTGCATCGCTTCTAAAATAATGTCCAGCGTCAAATATTACACATCGATGATCATTAAGATGT